GATATAATATATAAATGATAATACATATAAAGAATAAAATAATATATAAAAATAAGAGAAAGAAACAAGCTAACACTATATATATAAACTAATTATAATTTCTATAAATAATTAAAACATATAATAATAGGTATATCAGGAATTAAATAAAAACATTCTAAAATACTATATAAATACCATTCATATAGTATTCTTAGAATGGTACTAATATACTATAACACAATATTTTAGTGTGTTATTTAAATGTTTTGTACTTATAGTATACTAAAATACAATATTTTAATGCATTATTTAAACATTTTGTATTTGTAATATATTAGTAATGTTCTAATGCATTATTTATAGTATACTAAAATGTCTCTATAAAATTCCTAATATATACAATAGAAATTTTGATTTTTAATTAATTTATAATATAGAATAAAATAGAATAATTGATTTTAACTAGTTATAATATAAGAATTTTGATTTTAGTTAATCTATAATATAAGAATTACTATTTGATACAGTGATTTTTTATATTTAGCTAATACAAATTTACTTGTTAAAATTATTTTTGATCTGTTTTAATATAGTTACTTATAATTTTTATAAATATAACTTTTTTCTTAAACTGTTTCTTCTATAATTCTTTTAACAATAATTTAAAATTTTACTCTTCAAAAATACTTTTAAAATTATGAAATCATATTTTTTTTAACTAAATCAAATATATTATCTTTAAATTCAACTTTAAGTTTTTTTTCTTTTAAAAATACAAAAATGCATATTAATAACAATTAAAATTGCTAAGTGAAACCTAGTGCTCTTAACAGATCAGATTGACCCAAGTTGATCTGTGTAACTTAAGAGTATAAATTGAATTGGGTTAAGGTCAAATAATTTTCTAAATTCAAAGTTGACCAAAGTTGATCAAAATCTATAAATATCACATAATCTCAAATATCATTGTTTTAAAGATATTTTATGTATTAATAAAAGTTATTCCTTATTAGTATTACAGTAATTGTTTTTGCATTAGTTTGAGATATTTTATAGATGTTATATGTACTGTTTTAAAAATATTTTATATATTATAAATGTTATATGTTCCTGAAATCTACTGTTTTAAAAATATTTTATATATTAATAAAAATTGTTTTTTTAACTATTTACATATATTTTATTAGTACTGTTATAATTATTTATATCTTAGTTTTTTAAATATTTAATAGTAAATATATTTATAAATATTTTATAATATACTGTTTTAATTTAATAAAAATTATTTTTTGAAATATTTTAGAGATTTTTATAAAAAACAAATTTTTTTGATTAATTTGAAAGGTATTATTACTGATTTGGAATCATAGTTACTTAATTTGAAGTTAGGATCATACTTTTTGATTTAATTTGAAAGTTAAAGTCATATCTTACAATTTGAATTGATTTGACGTGTTAGAAGCATTAGTGAAATCTGTAAGTTTAGCAAACCAGAAAATAGCAAAAGAATAAAATCTGATAAAACTTTATTAAATACTTATTAATAAGTTAAGTAAAGCTTGTCATATATTAAAACTAGTAAATTTATATAAACTGTTGAAACTATTAAAATTATAATGGTGAGTTATAGATTTTCCATTTTTTAAATCTTCAAATAAGTTTTATCCAACAACCTTAATAACAACATAGATTATATTTACTATTGACAACTCATTTATATTCTTTAAAAAATCTGGAATCAGATTTTAAAAATGAAAAAGAGAATACATAAGTATTCATAAAGGTAGTTGTATGACTGTTATCACCTTCTCTTAGTTTTGAATATTTTGTTCATTCAAGATTGTTGCCTCAGATATTTGTTAATTTACTACTATATTAAGATATCAATTTTTCAAAATCAATTAATTTTTTTCTTCTTTTTTTACAAATAATATATTAGACATAATAGTTGCAAATACAAATTTATAAATTTATATTCATTATCAAAAAATATCAATGGTGCTAGTAGATAGTGACAAATATAAACTATAAAAAATTTATTATTTAGATTGTTTTGATTACTTATTAAAAATTTTTAAAATTATTTTTCTTTAATTAATACTGAAATAAAAATTAAGGTTACAAAAATATTTGAATTCTAATTGATTTGTGAATTACATTGTTATAGATCCAAGATCAAATTCAAAAAAATAAGATCTAGTCAAATTTGGATCAGATAAATAAATCTAGCTGATTTTAGAAGAGGAAGAAAAAGAGAAAGAAAAGAAAAAAAAGAGAAAGGAAAGAAAGAAGGAAAGAAAGATAAAAAAATTTTTTTTTTAATTCAAATATTTATAAATATTCAAAGATTTTATGAATATTTATTAATATTCAAAGTGTTGTCATTGCTGTATAAGATTTTAAAAATAATGTTACTATACTAATGTTTGACAATTATTAATTGTTGTTATCTATGAAAATCAAATTTAAATAGTGTATAGAAAAAATTGTTTAGAGATGATAGTAAATTCAGATATTTGAAAATCATGAAGTTGGCACATTCCTGATAAGTGAAATGCCATAGTTTTTGCTGGTACACCAAATGTAAAGTCATGACTAAGCAGGTGCTACCTATGATAAAAAATATCAAACAAAAATAAGTATTATCTAATTTTCAATCACCTGAAAATACTGTATTTGTAATTTTTATCACATTATTGATTGTTATTCGCGTCTAGATCTGGAAAGAATCAACAAACCAAACTTGTGCCAAATGACAATTTTGACGCGATCTGCCATCAATTTTCTTACTTGAAAGAAGAGTTACATAAAATACAAGTTATATTTGTATAAGTTATTTGCAAAGTTTTGAATGATATTCTTGTAAATTGATTATCTTGGTGAAAGTGAACAAAATAAAATTCAACATTTTATATCTTGGTGAAAGCGAACAAAATAGAATTTAACATTTATAATTCTTGATTTTTAATTCCTCGAGAATTCTTTACATTTTCAGAACACGTGTTTGTTACAGGACAGAAATAATATTTGGCGGGAAATAATATACCAATTTTAGTTAGATTTATAAAAGATTTTTTCACTTCCAATAATTACAAATAATTACAAATAATTACTAACTATAGTATTGTTAAAATTTCTTGATGCACGGACTTTGTAATAAATAATAAATAATAATCAAAAAACAAGTTTTTTCTCCATCAACTCCGATGGTAAAATTAAAATAATACAACATAAACTTCCACATGAAATCAAAATAATGAACTTAGTTCCTCTTATTCATCTTTCATTCTTTCCTAAATATCGCCAATTGTCCATATGCTAAATAATATTATCTAATATTATTGCATGCGATACAAACTTTTTTATTTGAGAATAACTTTCAACAAAGATCCTTGTAGAAAGCTACTTAACCCGATTAATCCCTATACAAGATGTAACTGCGCCGACCAATCAACTGTTTTTAGATTTTTATATCATCATTCAATTAAACATATCCATTTTATGTAATACAATTCATTAAATTCATTTTTCTTTGTTGTCAATAAAAAAAAAAATCTAATTTTAATAACTTTATTTGAATTTTTAATTATTAAGTCTAAAAAGAATATTTTGAGGGAATATGGGAAATTTTAAAATTTTTTCGGGAGATAAAAGAAAAATAATAAAGAAAATAAATAGATTATATGAAACAATTAATAATAAGTAAAAAAAAAAAAAAGTAACTAAAACGAAAAAAGTCAATAATAAAATAATGACAAATAGAAAATAAAAACAATGAAAATGTATTTACAAATGATTCGAATTTGTATAAGGATATGATAATGATTTTATTGAAAAAAGATTAAAATAATGTAATAGTAAAAATATTATTTTTGGATAACATACATAAATCTCAAAAAATATTATATGTGTAAATTGTGTAAATTGTTCTTTAATACCAAAAATATAAATTAATAATTGCTTAGTTCATTAAATTTGTCAAAAAAATATTTTTAATGTGATAATGATCCAGTTCATAAAAACGAATATCCAAAGACATTGGAATTTTCAAAGATAACGACAAATTTCCGTATGTCGGCAGAAGCTTTCATCCGAAGACCGGTAACACCGTATGCCGGCTTTATTAACTTCATCTTCCCAAAAAAAAAATTGGAAATTAGGTTGTAGACCATTGGCAGTGACCTAATAATAGTAATAATAATTTTAAAAAAGATTAGTTTACAAATTTTTAAAAAAAAATATAAAAAATTAAAGGTAAAGGGATCGAAATTATAACAATATCTCACCTGAAACACACAAAGTCTTCGTTAGAGCTTCCCCGTGGACAGTGACCAAATTTCTCAGTATCTTTTAGAATTCTGCAGCGAATTGAATATAACATTTTTCACAGTTAAAATTCCGAAATCATTATTAGCCCCTTGTATCGCTTTCGTAAATCGTCTTATTATCTTAATTAATCTTATACGGCTATTATACGTTGGGAATTTTTTCATTGATCTTAATTGTTTTTTTTTTCTTCTTATTAAATCTTATTGATTTATGTAAAGTATATTATTATTGTTTTTCGAAGAATTCATATTTCATTTTGTTACGCTTATTGGGATTATTTTTGATTATTTTTGATAAATTATTTTTTGATTATATTCGAATGATTATTTTGATTAATTTGATTAATTTTGATGTTTTCGTAAGAAGGCTAATAAATTAACAATATTCTCGATTCCAGAGTAAGTATTCATCATAATTTTCAATTCGACAAAGAGGAGGATTTTGTTCAATATTAAATTGATTAAAAAAGTCAAAATCATTTAGACAAGTTGTAGTATAGCCACAAGAAGAATTTTCGTCAATCCAAATTGGATCAAGAATTTGACCTTCAGCAATGGTTGGGACGTAACATACACAATTATTAATTTCGGATTGAACAAATGATTGTTCTAATAAATTTGGTTGATAATTATATTGCTCTAAACAAGGTGTAAATGATTCAACATTATAATAATTATTGATCTCATTATTATTATTATTATTATTATTATTATTATTATTATTATTATTATTATTATTATTATTATTATTATTATTGTTATTATTATTATTATTAATTTCTTCAAAAAGTGGGAAATCTTCAGGTTCAACGTATTCAGAACTTGAATCAGATTCCCAAGAATTAATAGATTCATTCGTTACTAGAGAATCACAAGGAGATGATGACGATTGTTTATTAAAAGATTCCTCTATTTTAATAATTGGTGATGTTTTGATTGAAGAAGGTTGAAAATCATTATTGATAGATTGTGACAGTTCATTTGGCTGTTTTTCCTCCTCTTTTATTCCATGATTTTCTTCTTCCTTTGTGTCTAGAAAATCATTCATTATTGGATCACAAACAATTTTATATCCCCTGATTATTCTTTTCCTTTCTTGAAATTCTTTATCAATTTCTTGTGCAATTTTTGTATATGCATCTTTAACTACTTTTGATTCATTTTTCCAGTTGTAACTAACTAATTTCGAAACTTCGGTCATCCTGAATTTAAGATTTTTGTCAGAAAGATGTTTAACAAATGCTTTTCTGTATACAAAGAATGCATTTGGGCTTTTAGTGTCGATATTTGTAAATGGTCTTCCTAAAAAATCGTCCTTGGTTACGGGAGGTGGATAAAGCGTTATTTTTAATTGAGAAACTGGTGTTGTAGTTGTTGGATTGGTATTACGTTTTATAGATTTAGTAATCTTTGGGCGTATAGTATTTCTCCGAGTCATTTTTTTTATATCGTTAATAACTGAAATAGTAAAAATAAATTATATAAACAATTCGTTAAAACGAAATTTCCGAAATAATAAATTTATTTTTTTTTTTTTAAGAAAAAAAAAAAAAATTTGTCGATGTGAAAATCAATAAATTTTTAGGGTATTTTTATATTTTTTTTTTTCGGTTTAATTCTCCGTTGTTGCTTATGCAATATTACATATTTTTTATTCTATGAGTATTTTATTTTCGGTTATTGATAAGACCTATATAAAATGCAGTGTTCTTCCCGTAAATAGAAATGTAGAGATTAAAAAACTACTTTGTGTATCAAATATTCGTGAAACAAACATTCTAGAAAAACTATGGCTAGTTATGTCTTACAAATGCATCCTTGACTAAGGCTTTCCCCAAATTAGATAAAGATTTCTTGTATTCTTCTTAAGGGAACATATAATCACGTGAAAAGCGCAATGTATAATTATCACAATGAAGGGTAATAAATAAATTTTTATTTGATATGCAGTACACAATTAATTTAAAAATTGTGACATAATAAAGTCATTTCTTAGTTACATTGTGCAGCAAACGTTTTTTTAGGTTGCCAAGTGCCACATGGCAATTTCTCTGTCACTGCAGGGAAATCTATAAATATCTATATACCAATATCTTTTTTTTTAATCTACAGTTAATATACTTATATACATTAATATAATTTTATATAATCAAAAGTTTCACTAGCGACTAATATTTCGCATTGTTAATTTGCTAATTGAGGATCCTGTTAACTTTTATCGGATATCTTATAAATATATTCAAGGTTCTATTGGAAAAATTATCCAATAACTGTAGGTGGGTATAAATATCTTACATGGTGTCATTTTGTGGCTAAAACTCTTTTGATAACTTTTATTGGTATTTCCGCATAATAAAATTATTATCACGTGAGAACGCGTCAAAATTTTTTTTTCTTTTAGTATATATACAGTAAGCATTTTTTTTCCACTTTACAGGGCTTGATCCGAATATTACAAATAATTCTAATAATTCTAGAAATGTACAAGATTGTGATATTCATGTGCATTTAATGTTAAAAAAAACTAATTGCTGCATAAACCTGTTATTCATTATTTAATTAAAAAAATATTTAAATATTAATGAATATTTAATAATATTTATAGAATTGGAGTATTTTGTGCACTAAAGCTGGTTAGTAAAAATAAAGAATCTAAACTTTGAGAGATAAGAAAAAAAAAAAAAAACAAGATTTCAACCTCTGATTGCAGACATATTTAACCAAAATATGCATAATAATATTTATTATGTGCTTGTTTTATATTGTTTAATATTTTATTATATTTATTATACTTTATTACAGTTATCTAATACGCCGTTTTCTTATTATTTGTTAGAATACGTTTAACTATTTTCTCATGAATGCATCACATAATTTCAATAAAAAAGTAGTTTCCCTTTTTGTTTTCTTGTGCGTGCGTAAAAGAAATCTTTCTGAAACATTTAAATAAAGTTTTATGATTAAATATTAGATAATTTATTAAATGATTTAATTCACATACGTATATTTTTATTATACACAGAGATAAAATAGATAACATGTGCTCTCACCCTTGGCAATGCATAAGCAAATTATCTTTGCAGTTTATTTGCTACAAAATTTCTTCAACTTGGGTAAAAAATTACAATCTTTAGAAAACGTTTCACTATCACCAAGGGGTTTCGTTTGACAAATCAAATATTTTAAATATTATAAAATATTATAGGCTGCCTTCCGCACACATGAATTACATAAATTATATAAATTATAGGAATTATTTTACGTAATATATAATATATAATAACATATATAAAATTTGAAATAACTGAAACAATTAATTTAAATTAATTTATTTGCTTAATCTGTTGATACGCGTAACCACAAATGATTTATTCAAAAATTCCTACTTTGTAAAAATTTTATAAATAATTTTTATATTACTGCAACCTTTTTTGTGTGGTGGCCTTGTTTCCCGATTGTTGACTACATAAGAAACTTCAATTGTCGATCGACGCGTATTTGACATTTAGTTTTTATTCAAAAAATCAAATTTTCAGATTCATTACAATATGAATTAAATGATTCTTTAATCAAAACGTACATATTATTATTTTGATTATCAAAATATCGTTTACGCGATTATTAAGCAGACAAAAAAAAACTGCAGAATGTTTTCTTAATTTATAAATTATCATGATTTATTTATAAATTATCTATTTGTTTATAATATAATCATAGAATTCCGATTTGCAATGTTTACTATATATATATAATTCATTTTATTTTTTAATTCTATTTTAAATTTTTTAAATCATTTTAGAATGACAAGGTAACACAAAAATAGTTTAAAAATAGTTTTGGATGTTCTGTGAAGAACATTTTTTTCACGCCACAAATGCCTTGTGGCTTATAAAGAAGGGGTCAAAAAACACCATAGCCGAGAAAGGAGTTACATCATTCATTTACAAATTGGTGATGTATTAATGAACTAGATATCCCTCATAAAGACTCATAGTTATGATATCACTAAATAAATTGAGTTTATTGGTCTATTGAATAATGCTGAATTTGGTTAAAGAGAACAATCTTTTTTAAGTAATTAAAATACAACAATTTCAGCAATTCGTGAAAAAAGACTATGCGCACGGATATCCACGGCGGAAGATTTAGGATACCAATATTGCATGACTTTATATATAATAATTGCAATAATTGCATGTTCATTTCTATATGCATCAAACTTGCAGAAAAGCGGGCTGAATCTTTAATAAAAAAAAAGATGTTAGAAAAGAGAGAGAGAGAATAAGCTTGGATTTTTGCATGCATGCTATGCACACGATATTTAACTGGAACTTTTATAAAAGGTGTAAAATGTTTCACCAGAGTGTTATTTTCTCATGCAAAATTGATTTAATAGATTATTCCATTCAAAATTTCCAATGAAATTTGATTCTGCATGACATTTAGCCAGAATTTTATAATTTTAGTTAAATTTCAAAATAGGTTCTCATTACTAATTCAAATTAGTAAATAAGCCTTTATAATGTTACTGCGCAAGGAAAAAAAAAAGATAGAATATGCCTTTTTTGGAAAAAATAGTTCTCCAAGTCTGAATGAGACATGAATAAAATGTAGACATGAGACAAATACTTAATCATAACTTTATCATAAAATATTCATACAATATTGCATTATTGTTGATGTTAGACACTATAAAATGTATAAGTATGGTTTTTTCATTGATCGGAATTTAGATATAAATTAATTTTTTCTCATTTATTAGTGAAACCGAAGAGGGGTTTTTTTTTTAAAAAAAAAAAATAGAGGTATATCTATATTCTCTTGAAAAATTCTAAATTTTTTTGTTTCACTAATTTTAAAATGTTATTGATTTTCATCAAAAACATTGTTTTGTAAAGATGATTGAGCTATTCAGATTACCATATTTTGTTTTTTGTTGGGGTACGCCAAGATAAATTTGGTTTCAAGGCTAAATTCTTTTAAAGTGTTTATTGTCTTAATGAAAAACTAAAAAAAAATGAATAACCGAGAAAAGAATTTCTATCCAATTTAATTGTAATTATTACGGTATATACTATCAACAAATTAGGTTCCAATGATCAAAATGCCAGTTAGATGTTGATAAGATAATTTGACGCAGTATTCTGGAAACAAAATTTTTTTAACATTGTTGTGCATGGTTACATCATACAGTCGACCCTCTATAAGCACACCTCCCCCAGGAAGGGCGAGGGAATTTTAATATGGTCTTATATACAGAGACCAAGCACTGTGTTTCGTAACTCGGATCGATTTTAGACTAAGAAATCACCTCAGATGCCACAGAATTGATCAGGAGTCCTAACACTTACTTTGGACATACAGTTGACCCCTTTGAAGTCACACCTCTTCTAGTTACACAGTGCTTGGTCCCTTTATATATTATTTAGTCACACCATTTGGGTGCTTATAGAGGTCAAAACTTTCTTTCTTTAAAAAAAAAAAAATAAATGTACCACGAAAAAAATTTTGAACAAAAATTAGTAGTCTATTAAAGAATATTTTATTTTGTTAATGATGATAATGATAAGAAAGATGCTGGAATTGTAAATTTACATATGCATTTTGTTTAACGAACAGTATATTAAATGGTGCCATAAGCTGGTGGTAAAATATAATCATTAATTGACAAAGGAATTAAAGATATTGTGCTATCATATGAAGGTAAATTATTATTATTAATGGATGATAAATTATTATTACATAAGTTATTGTCTCTGGAAGTTATATTATTACTATCGGAAGGTATTGAATCTTCATTGATTTCTTTATCAAAATAATAACTATCGTAGGTAGGAAGCGTATCAAACATAGCAGTATTAATTGAGCTTGGACATGAAGTAACTATGACAGATAAACTTGCTGTAAGTTTATAATATTCTTTATCTTCAACTTGAAATGTAACCTCAAATTTTAATTTATGTTCGATACGAATTTGGTTATTTTCGGAATCTGCCAAACACCGAGACTTTGGAATTGACATTTCATCATTTTTAATCCAAGTTTCATCAATAAAAGGAATTGATGATGAATCTCTCTTGATATCAACTACTACTACTTCTTTCATGGTTTTCGATCCAATGTTATAGGTTCTGTGTTCTTCAAAAATCAAATTAAATCGAACAATATTTATTCCTTTTATTAAAGGTTTTATAATAAGTTCTACTGGAATCTTATCATCAAGGCGGAAATATCTTGCTCCAATTGAAAATTCATATTCGACTTTATTTTCCCATGAATTAAGAAGAACAACACTTTCCATTGAATTAAAATAATTAGATATCAAACATCTATTGATTTGGATTTTACGTTTAGTGTGAAGGTTTTGTGCGAAAGTTGGTCTTTTTAAGGTAGCTTTAAGGTTATAACGAACGTAACTTTTATTACATTGTTCGATCGTTTCTATTAATGTTCCGGGAAGGGCTAATTCAAAATCCCAGCAATAATTGCCTGGCTGAAGAACGTGATATTTCTCTTGCGCAGCAAGGAAAACCCAATCATGTCTGTATAATATTCTTTTTTCGCTGGTTTCTGTAACATTACCTAAGTAAAAGATAAAAAATATACAGTATATGATTGAGTATTATTATGAGTAATGAAAAACGTAAGTACACAAATTAAAATATTCGACATTTACCATTATCCCATGCAGTTTTTGATTTTCCCTGAAATGTCAATTTAATTTCTTTGGATTTGATAGGTTCTGTAGTTACTAACACGAGTTGTCCGCGTAAAACGCAACCCACAGATTCCATAGGTGTTCCTCTCAAAGTTAAACTATCTTGTTCTAATCGAATTTGAAATAAAAGTGTCATCTTATATGGTTACTTTCACGAAATTGAGGATTATAGCGCATATAAATAAATTTTTAAAAAACAATTATAGTATTTTTTGAGTATTCTTATGAAAGACTTAATTTGGAAAATATTTCTCAATTAGTAATTGATGCATTATACTAATCTATTATTAAAAATTCTTTTGCATGGAGAATTCTTCGCAATGATTCTTGTAGTTCTGATGTGGCTTTTTCTTTGTTACCTTTTACGAAATAATTTATGTAATAGCATTAATGCTGTGTAGCTTTTATATTTGTTAAAAATCTTTTTTTGAATATTTTTCATTAAACAATGATAAAACCAAGCTTTTTCAGAGACGAGTAAGGAAGTATCACTGAATTATTATGATAATGCTAAATGTGGCGTAAGATGATACAAGCTTTCCAAACTTGCCACATATTAATAATTAAGGAAATTGAATGTATTGTTAATTTCGGAGTTACTTATTGTTTGTTTATCCACCGAGCTTCCTAAATTTAAATTTAGGTTACAAAAATAATTTTAGTTTATTATATTATATTAATAAGAGAGTTTTATAATGCAATTTTAAATGTAATTTTAAATGTCTTTGTCAGAAGATTTAGTCAAAGCTGTATTAAGTAGAGAAGATGATTTGGAATTTGGCTGATTACATACTATAGTCGGGCAATTATTTAATGACAATAATAAAAAATAGTTAAATCCAACTAAAAATTAATATATTTTATATATTCCACAAACTTAAAACGCGTAATTTTAAAAAATTTAATTGGCATAGAATATCCAAATCATTGTCACAATGAAATTTGATTTGACCAACTCCAAGCACAGTTTTAAACTCAAATCGTTTTAATTCTTTAAATAAAAAAGGTTTATTGCATATATTAATTATGCAATTCTTTGATTTTCTTTGTGACAATATAATACAACCCAAAATTCAACAAAGAAATTTAGAACCTTTCATTTATTTCAACAGACAATTGTTAATAATTTCAAAAAAAAAAAAAAATAATTATGGATTAATTAGAGTGATTAACGTCACCACGTCATAGACATACAGTGTCACAATTATGTAAATTATATAACTTTATTTATTATATTTATAAAAGCATTGACTGAATAAATAAAAGCATTGACTGAATAATAAAAGCATTGACTGAATAATTGTAATTAAAATATAATAAAATCAATGAAAGAAAGAAAATATCCAACCTATTCAACAAATGAAACAGGTTTTATTGAATTTTTTTAGCTTATGTAGTATATAGTCTAACTAAAAATAATTGCATACATTACTAAGTTTTTTTCTCTTTCTTGGAAAATGTGGTTCAGAAAAATGTATCACTGAGAGATTGAAAGAATATTTCGTGGTATTTTTTCCGGTTGGCAACAGAAATGTAAATGGCCAAAGAAGGAAATAAAAGAAGATAACATACCTCAAGTCAAAAACAGGGAGTTTTGTTATTCAATGTCTTTACGTCAAAGCTGTAGAAGAAAGAATTATTAATAATAGAAAAAAGGTGAACATCACTATTTTGAGAGAACTAAATCAATCTTCAAGAGAAAGAAAATAATAGAATAAAATGATATCTTTTACCTTGAAATTTATAATTCCCGAAGTTTAAAAATAGTTAAAAAGAAATAATAAATAAAATGTTTTTCGTTTACGTACACATCATACGCCTCAACACGTCACACGCTCGACGTGAACATGACAAATCTCTAGTGTTAATAAATTATATTACTTGATAGAGACCTTACTGATCGATATATAGATTGAACAAGAATTTTGAAAACTAAGGAAAATATTAGAAATTCAAATAATCAAATTGATTCTGAAACGGGAAAAATTTAGATTTGTATAAAAAAGGTAAAAATGATTAATTTAGGCTGGTAAATTAACAAGAAAATTTTATTATTTTTTTTTTTATTTGACTTGTGTAATCACTTATAAAACTTATAACTATATGACTATATAATAGATATAACTTTAGCAACGTGTTATTCCATTTATTTAAATCATTTTTGAACTGTATTATTTTCATCAATGTCTTTCTATATAGGAAGCTTTGATTGATTTAGTGCCGATCTTACACGGATCATTGTTAAAAAAATATGATACACTCACTTAGATTTGGTCAATTCTTCAAGTTCTTTTTTCATTCCTAAACTTGAGAAATTAAGACGGTCTACTAGTATAAATTGCTTGTGGATGTATTTGATAATTAATTCGAGAATCCCTTTCTTTACTTTATTTTTGGGGAAATTCTTTAGCTTTTTTTTTTTTTAATTTGAATTGTGATTTTTTTTAAAAATCATTTTTTTAATCTCGTAATTCATTATCCAATTCTCTAAATGTGGGATAATATGATAGTAGCTCTAGAATCCCAACATCTCATAATTACTTTTGTAATTAATTTTGGAGTGAAATGAAAATTTTTTGATCATAATTCATTCATTACATAACATATTCATAAATTATTTATATAGTTTTATTCATATTTATTTATATTAACATCGCAAAAAAAAAAAAAAAAAAAAAAAAGGTTATAACGTAGATCGTGACCAACACGCCGCAAAATTCCAATCTATAATATTACAAAATAAAATACATGTCTTCGTCATCTCTATCGTTATTTTTATTTAAATAAGAAGATTTAACTGTAGTAGGATTAGTAGTGGTAGTGGTAGTAATGGATTTTCCAACAGCTCGCGAAATTAGACAAGTTTTTGTTGATAAGTTGTCTATTTTTTTTTTAAAAAAAAAAAAAAAATATTTGTATACGTGAAAATTTATATAATTTATATTTTGATTAGATAATAAATAAATAATTACCTTCAACATTAAAATAAGTTACTACATAGAAATTTATAACGTAACGTATTTAAAAAATATATAAAATAAATAAATAAAAATTAATAAATAAATTTAATAAATAAAATTAATGTTTAATATGTATAATATATATTATTATTATCATTAAAACTCACCTCCACAATCAGAATCGTCCATTGAATTCTTTATATAAACCCATCCATCATCTTCTTCAGGCCAATCAATTTTATAAAAGTCAACATTATTATTATTATTATTAGATGAACCTTGATGAATTGAAGCAGAAGCAATTATTGATGGGTAAGGAGATTCGATTTGTTTATTTCGCGGTGATGACGATAGTATTTGTTGTGATGATGTCGGTGATGAAAAAGTTGGTGGCGAAGAAGTTGGTGAAGAAGTTAGTGGTGAAGAAATTGGTGATGATGTTGGTGAAGAAGAAGTTGGCGACGACGGTGATGGTGGTTGTGGATATGATATTTGAGGTGGTGAAAGTGATAATGAAGATGACGTTAAAGAAAGTGAAAGAGGAGGAAGGGAATAAAATGGTAGTGGTGGTGGTAACGTTTCTTCTTTTGTGACTTTTATATTTTTTTTATCATTTTTATTATTAATGTTTTTTGGTTGGGTAATAGAACAATTGATAGAAGAAGAAGGCGACTCTGTGATTTCTGTAAATTTTTTTAAGGCGGTTTTATAATATTTTCCGTAATCTGCATTGGTTGACATTTTATTATTATTATTATTCTCTTACTCCTCTTATTCCTCCTTATTCTTTGATATTATTTATTATTCTTTGGAATTTAAGTATTTTGTTATCTTCTTATCTTAATAGGAAAAAACACGACTTTAAAGAAAATTGAAAAAAAAATAAACGACAAATAGACTAATTAGGAAGAAAGGAAAAAAATAAAGATTAAAGATTACACATCTTTGAGAGCTATATTTTGGAAAATGAATTATATTTATCATATTTATTTATCATATTTATCATATTTATCATATTTATCATGAATAAAGGTTATTATATTCTGCCGTCATTTTTCTTTTTTTTTTTTTCTTTAAAATTTTTGCATCATTTTTATATAAATTCTAATCTATATATCAAACTTTTATCAATAGTAAATTATACTATGAACATATGATAAATCTGAGTTAAACATATAGAATTTACCAATAAATTTCTAAGACATTATCACTTATTTACTTGTGTATATTATACATATATAATATATACATTTTATATATTCATTAATTTTCTTTAAACAATAATAATAAAAATAATAAAAATTATTCTAATATTAACAGTTGGAAGACTCAAATAATTTTATTCCTAATTTATCAAGTAATTCAATAGATCTTGGTTCTTCTTTCAAAGACGCCAACTTCAAATATTGTATAGCTTTTTCTTCATTTTTTTCAACATTATATTTCCCATATAAATAAATTTCTCCTAAATTGTATAATGCATCTAAATTGTTATTATTTGCAGCTAATGTCATATAAGTTAAATATTCATTATATTTTTTTGTTACTCTATCTTTATCTATATCTTTATCTTCTCTTTTATTATTATTATTATTATTATTATTATTATTATTATTATTATTATTATTATTATTGTTATTGTTATTGTTATTGTTATTATTATCCTGTTCATTATCTTTATCATCATTTTCTTTTAATAAAATAGAAGCATAAAAAAATTGAGCTTCACTATCATTTTGATTCACAGCTTCTTTTAATATTTCAATAGCCAATTCACGATTCTTTTTTTCATATATTCCATCCCAAAGATAATATGCCTTCCAATATTTTGCCCGAGGATTGTTATTTGTAGAATGTAGATTAAAACATTCCCATGCTTTTTGATGATCTCCTCGTTCATGAGCCTTTATGCCATCGGAAAGTTTAAACATTGGTTTTATGGACATTAAAAATTCATCAGTTTTGATGGTATCTAATTCTCTGTAATCTCCTCCTTCATGTTTATCAACAACATTAACATCCTTCACGTCCTTATCAATATTTGAATATTCAAATTCTGGAAAGACAGGAATGACTTGATCATCATCATTGAATGTACGAGGTTTCAATTTTATATCCATTCTTTCCATTCCTTCTTTGGATAAATTTTGTTGTTTATTTAATGCATCTAGACTTAGAAACATCTTGTAAAGACCGGGGCGAAGAAGCGGATCGTCTTGCCATGCTAAAAATATAAAATAAACAAAAAACGTGATTTAGTCATTCTTAATATAATTAATGTAATTAATATAATTAAAATAATTATGAATAAATATAATTACCAGCTCTAATTATTTTTGCAAATTCTACTTCATAATTATTTGAAAGAATGGTCATGTTTTTAAAGTATATGTTTTCTCTATTTCCAGCCGATACATGGTTTGCAATCTTTATGTCATCCCATCCTCTATAAGGAACCCTTTCAAATGCAAGTTCCCATAACAGCATTCCGAAACTAAAATAAATAAATAAATAAATAATAACGATAATAATAAATAACGTCTTTTCCCATTAATACAAAGAGAATACAAAGAGAATATAAAATAAATATTACCTAAAGATATCACACTTAAAAGTATAATATCCTGCTCTCTTTTCATTACGAAATTGTTCAGGTGCCATCCAATGTTCAAGAGGATCAGATACATTTTGAAATTCTTTATCATCATGTGTTGGACGACATAATCTGAAATTTACAATCTTGGCTTCTAATTTACTGGTAATCTAAATAAATAATAGATAATAGATAATAGATATACAATATATAATAGATATATAATAAATAATAAATAATAATAAATAATTAAATAATAATTAAATTATAAATAATATATAATAATAAATAATAATTATAATAATTAAATAACAATTAATAATTAAATTTAATAATAATTAATAATAATAATAATAATAATAATATTCACCATAATATTTTCACATCTGACATCGTGATGCATAATATCACATCCATGTAAAAATAAAAGTCCTCGACATATTCCAACCGCAATTTCAAATTTCATATCCCAATCGATGGTATATTTTTCATATAAACTTTTCAAATTTCCCAATTCTGCCCATTCATAAACTATAACAGTATTAGAAGTTGTTGGTCCAAATTCCAAAGTTGATAATCCATAAAATTTAATTAAATTGGTGCAACTATTTAATTTATTCAAAAGAACTAATTGATCTTGAAATTTTTGCGATTGTATCGTATCAAATAATTTACAAGCTACAGGTTTATCAGCTACTTTCCACCACCTTTTTATCACATTTCCAAATCGATCTTTGGTTTTGGGACGAGTATTATTGATTAATTCTTCTGATGAAATTTGTGTTAATTTAATTTCATTTCCATTATTTTCATTAATATGAGATTTAATTAATATTATTTCTTCAAAGATTGGACTAATTTGTTTTTTGGGTGTTGTTATTGGTGAACCAATATTTTCCAGAAACTAAAATTGAATAAAAAAAAATTGTGTTAGAATGTGTAATAAAAATATTATTATAAAAATATTATTATAAATATTATAATAAAATATATAAATATAATGAAAAGATATAAATAAAATTATTATATATTTAATATTTACCTCATTTAATATATTAATATCAGTTTTCAGTGCTTGATAATCTTTCCTCTTTTGCAATTCCAAATCTTGACCTATTTCGAGATTTAAATCTGCAATAACTTCATCAAACTCTTTTGCAATCCTTTCAAATCTTTCTTTCATTGATTTAGTTGTGGGAAATTTACGTAAACTCCAAAGTGAAGAAACATCAGTAATAAATTGTTGAGTTTTTTTCAATATGGCAAGAAGACGTATTAAAGCATAATAATAATTTTTTTTAAGAAAATTGTTCTCAATTTTATCTTTACGTCTTTTTAATGCTTTAACCGGTGCTCCCACACAATCAACTCTGTCTAATAATGCATTACTGATCTTTTTATTATATTGAGCGTACTCATATGAATTATAAATTCTTCTAATAGAATCAGTGAGAGAAATAATTAATGGTCCATAAGGTTTTACCACTTCTCCAACTACTGCAACTTCCCCAATAAGTTCTTTAGCCATTTTCAATAATCCATCCATATCTTCACATTCTGGATATTCTATTTTGGTTTTTATGGTTGCAACTTCTTCTGGCATAATTTCTAAACTATTTTCTAAACTCTTGTGGTGATTCAGAATTCGTAATGGAAATGAATAAATACAAACTTCAAGTATTGTAATAGATAATAGTATATATATTGATTTTTTAATAGCAATTGTGGATAAAAATTGATATCTTATCATTCAATTTATAAATTAGCATTCGACCATTTTTGGGTCTTGTAATATCATTTTCACAGAATATTCTTTTAAATTCTTTGTGTTACCAAGATTTTTAGACAAAGAGAATTTTTAATTGTAATTGGTAGAAATTACTAGATTGTTAAATCAAAATTATTCTGAAGCAAAAAAAAATACTTTTAAATCTTATACTCTTTCTTCTTTTATGTCCCACAAATTTTTTTTTGGAAATAATGCATTTATGATATCAAAGAAAGTTTATCTTTGTTATCATTTGAAACATTTGAAAAGAATAAATGTTCAAATGAAAGTGAATACCAATTTATTTTCAAGTATCAGTTGAAATAGATGAATGTATAGAACCCTTATCCTAAACCTGGTTCAGAGGATCCTTATTCTGTGCACTGGATATAAATGATCTGATCATTTGCCTATTTGAAATGATTTCTAAAACAACTGATGGTCATGTCCCCACCCATCTCTTTTTGACCAATCTGAGCAAAAAGTTGCTGGAAAGGAATACT